TGGCCCTAACGCTCGCCTGGGCGAGGTGACCCCGATCACCGAGCCACACACCACTACCAGCCCCCATCATTGGTGGATGAGTGTCTAACTCAGTAGGGCTATTTGTGTGTGGGATTAATCCACTGATCTTCAGAGTTCGTCGAGTACTCCATGGTGGCTGGACCCCATGGCTGTTGCTTGAGTATCACTCCTGATGACTGAGTGTTGCAGTGGCAGTTGCCCTGGTCTTTATGGTGCTAAGTGACTATAAGAGTTATGTGTTATTGAGTATGTCCACCCAGTAGGGTTGGAAGTGTTATTGAGTATGTCCACCCAGTAGTGGTGTGAGTATATTGAGCCTGAGGGCCTAGCACTAGATTTCGTCTGTTGGTACATATAAATTCTTTTCTCCTAATTTCATATTAATGTTTAAATAAATTTTGTATTTGTATATTGTGTCTATTATTTACCTACAGTATTTACCGTTATTTCTTCCCTATTACTTGATATTATCATTACATCTACCCACGAGCCTCTCCTCACACGCTACCAATGGTAATAAGTATGAGAGTAAAAGGAATTGTTACTGACACACAGGCCTTATAAAATGGTGGCAGCTCAGGCCCTCATATAAGTATTAAGAGTTCAGAGGTCATATTGCAACTACATCTTGCGCTAGTCAGGCCGTACCTCGATAATGCTGTTCAGTTCTGGTGCCCTTATTATAGAATGGATATCAATTCACTGGAGTCGGTGCAGCGATGGATGACAAAATGATTCCGACTTAGAAACCTTCCATATCAAGATAGATTGAAGAAACTAAACTTGCATTCTCTAGAAAGACGAAGAGTGCGGGGAGATGTGACAGAAGTATTTAAGTGGGTGAAAGGAATCAATAAAGGAGATATAGATAAAGTTCTTATAATATCAGAGCAGGATAGACTCGTAGCAAAGGATTTTAATTGATAAGTTTAGGTTTAAGAAGAAGATAAGACAGAACTGGTTCACAAATTGGGTGGTCGACGAGTGGAACAAGCTTAGCAACTTTGTAGAAAGCGCTGGAACGCTGGAAAGTTTTAAAAGTTGGCGAGATAGATTCATGGATGATAGAGAGTGGTAGTAACTCTCAACAGGAGCTACTATGCACAGGCCTATTGCAGACTTCTTATTTTCTTATGTTCTTATGAAGTAAAACTCCTTTGAGACTTGTTTTTGAAAAACAATGAACTCCAATCAGTAACTGTGTAGGTTATGCCAAAATAGTTAATTAAAGCAGACACATTATTACAATAAACCAAGGAGCCGTCCTGTGAAAAAAATTTAACTAGTTCTTGTTCACGTTGCTCATACCATGAAAATATGTCCCTTTGCTCAATAACTTCTCTGATTTCAACCTAGATTCTAAAAGTTCAGCAGACTCTTTTGGTAAATTCAAATCCCAAACCAGATCGATAAGTTCACACTGTAAACAATTCCGGTACATTGTAGCGTACGGTATGTGGCAGGTTGTCAAATTCTCTTTATATGGGCTCACAACGTACGTACATGTAATATGTCTAACACTCAGGATTGAGGTAGAATAGAAACTCACAATGCAATTAAAATGATACATGTAACCCATTAAGAAAATCATCACAACCACATTCTGGCGCCGACTGGTAAAAAATTATTAATATCCTCTGCTGAACTTTTTCTGGTTTGTTTTGTAGTTATTGTCTCCAGTAGTTCAAGTGAAAGGGGGTGAATGATTTGTAGAGTTGAATGAAAATCCCTGTATCAATATATTTCAAGATAGCTTATCACATTTCCGAAAGTCAGTGTAGTGGATTCCTCCCCTACAAACGCTGTTTGTCACTGTGTAGCCGACCCTTTTCGATTTCCCCAGCCTATGCCTCCAGCGCCACCTGACGGAGCGGGGGTCAACTATTAACCCACGCCTATCCCTGCCATATAAGACCTCACCCCGCTGTGACCACCCTCTTTCTACCTACTGCCACCAGCAAGCAACACCTCCTCCTCCGCTCCAGCCTGGAGGCTCCCACTCCCGCCGGCGATCCTTGGCGTCCCTCAAGCTGCGTGCCCTCCTCTGGGCACCCTAACCAACCAGCTCTCTCTACTCAACGCTTGTAACCATGCTGCCTACCCAGCAACAAGCTGCATTGTACATCCAATCCAATATGGATACAGAAAACACATTGTGAGTTTCCTTTCTCCATCCCATCCTGAATGTGAACTAATATCTCATAACCCTACAAGGTGACCCCCGGAGATTCGCACTCACACAGGATGGAAGAGAAACTGATCACTCTCCCAGTCTTCAAGCAACATGGAAGACTGGCTTACTCACGCAGAGGCAGCTCTCATCGGCTCTACAACTACTGTCTCTACACCGTAGGTTAGACACCCTAGAGCAGCTCTGCTACTCTAAGCAGACAGCCGCTCCTCTTCCTGCCCTAAGCACCACGTCCTACCGACCCTAACACACCCGTCCTGCCTCAGACGCCGCCCCGGCCCAGCAGTACCCCCTGACCCTCTTCCTGATGCAGCCCCTGCTCCTGACCAAGACCCACACACCCCAGCAGGCGTATCTGAGGACTCTGTACCTGCCGCGAGGGAAGTACAACATTCATCGCCTCCACAACCCTCCTTCTTCCTCTTTTCTCCCACAGATCTCTGTATCTAGACAGAGCTGTCCCCCTTAGCGGCCGGCTCATCCACGCCCTCGCTGTTATGTCTCACATGTGGCATGCACCGCCCGTTCTGCCTCACACGTGGCACGCAACCCTGCCAACCTCCAGCCTCCCGCCATGCCCGGAGGGGAAGGGGAGTATGGTAGTGGATTCCTCTCCTATAAACGCCATTTGTTGCTGTGTAGCCGACCCTTTTCGAATTCCCCAGCTTACGCCTCCAGCGCCACCTGACGGAGCGGGGGTCAACTATTAACCCACGCGTACCCCCGACTTATAAGACCTCACCCCGCTGTGACCACCCTCTTTCTACCTACTGCCACCAACAAGCAACACTTCCTCCTCCGCTCCAGCCTGGCGGCTCCCGCTCCCGCTGGCGACCTTGGCGTCCCTCAAGCTGGTGCCCTCCCCTGGGCACCCTCACCAACCAGCTCTCTCTACTCAACGCTTGTAACCATGCTGCCTAGCCAGCAACAAGCTGCATTGTACATTCAATACAATATGGATACAGAAAACACATTGTGGGTTTCCTTTCTCCATTAGGCTTGCCATATGTCCGTATTTTCCCGGACATGTCCTCCATTTAGGTCTGGAAATCTTCGTCCGGAAGGAATTTTTAAAATTCTTCAAAAGTTCGGAATTTCAGCTTCCATCATTTTCTCCACGGAAAAAAAAACATGAAACTGTAATGACGAGAGAGAGAGAGAGAGAGAGAGGGACAGAAGGTGGAAACTGTAGAGATCTCATTCAGTTTTCGTCAGCTAATAAGTCACTTGTACACCTGTACGGTGTTGTCAACTTAGCTGTCAAATATTTGATTGATAAGGGGGTAGAAGTTGATGAAGTGTTTTAACCAAGTTAGTAACCTGAAGCAGTTTGTGGAAAATTACAAGAGTGATGAAGAATTTAGTAATCTGCCAACACATAAAAAGTGGACCAGATACTTTGAAAAATCAAAGAACATTGAACGCCTCTCAGAATTGCTAAGAATTGCACAATTCTTCTTTGCTATATCATCGCACAATGCAAATGTAGAAAGAGTTTTTTCACTGATGCAAAGTCAATGGACAAAGGAAAGGAACAAATTGAGTGTTGAAACAATGAAAGGCATTCTGAACGTACAGTACAACTTCCGAGAAACGCCTTGCAGTAACTTCTATACCTTTCTAAAGAGCAATCAACCAATACTGAAAAAGATCCGATCTACAGAAAAGTATGCATAGGCACACCAAGTCACACACGCAGTGGGGTAAGAAAACTGCAGCTAAGGGAATGAAGATGTTCAGCCTTAAGCAAAGGTATTTTTTTTTAAGATTTCTATACCATGTACTGTAGTGGATTTCTCCCCTACAAACGCTTTGTCGCTGAGTAGCCGATCCCGCGAATTCCCCAGTGTATGCCTCGTGGTCTGGGTCAACCAGCGCCGCCATACATCACGGAGGTCAACTACTAAGCCACGCCTACCCCTCGCTATTTAAGACCTGACCTCGTGGTGATCTCTCTCTTTTTTTACCTACACCAACCAGCCAGCAACACCACCTCCTCCTACGCCTGCCTGGCGGTCCTCGCTCCCGCCGGCGAGCATGGCGACCCACAAGCTGGTCCTCCTCTGAGCACCCTCACCAACCAGCTCTCTCTGCATCACGCTTGTAACCATGCTGCCTTCCCAGCACCAAGCTGCATTGTACATCCAATACAACATGTATACAGAGAGCATATAGTGAGTTTTCTTTCTCCAACCCATCCTGAGTGTGAACACAAACATCTCGTACCCCACAGTACTATGTTGTATATTAGCCTGTGTGTGCCGGGCGGGGGGGATGTCTTCAGGAGCGTCCTCTTTTTTGAATGTTCAGATATGGCAACCCTATTCTCCATCCCATCCTAAGTGTGAACCAATATCTCATAACCCTGCAGGAGCATCTCTAATTCCCCTATTTATAACAATACAAATTGAATAAACGAATCTAAATTACAACTTAATTTTCTTAGTGAAAACTGCAAGTGTTTTCTATTTTAACCGACGAGAAAGATATTTTCAAGTACAGTACACTAATGTTTATGTTAACCGCAGTAATGCAAGTAAACTGTATTGAAGTTAGTAATGAGTGCCAGGAACTCCTCTCACTGTGTGTATGATGTTCTCCCCAGTAGACACACTCCCCAAAGGTGCAAACATATTTTTATTTATCAAAATAATCATAACAAATATATTATTTTTAGTCTTAATTGTCAAGTATGTAATTATTATTAAAGATTTAAAATATTATATAAGACAAAAACACTAGAAATATTTGATAAAAACAATTGAATGAAAAAAGGAGGGTGGTGAAACGAACAGCTGCTATGCGCAGTACTAAAGATGGTCAGTGACTTTACAGATGTTACGTGAATCAGGGAAATAAGACGTCAAGATTACAGGTAAGAAAGTACATTTTGACAATGAATTCACAACTCTTAGTAACTTAAGGTATTTAAGAAGAAAATTGAAGTCATAAAATTTTTATTTTATGCCTGCAAACGTGGAAACTTAAGAATATTCGAGACCGGTGATGTGGGTCGGTAGGGGCATCTGCGATTGCTGATGGATTTCATGTGTTTTCATTCAGAAAGCACTAAAGTAATTGGCATAGTTATTATCGATATTTAAAATTGTACTCACATAGCGTACCTTTGAGAAGGATTTGTTGACACCTATTATTTTGAGATATAATCAAAGTAAATTTGGTGTCATGTTAGGTGAGGTTGTCAAGTGTGGGGGAGCTGCAAGGAGCGGGAAGTTAAAGGCAAAGGCTTGATTACAATTTATTCATCTACAACATTGTGCTTGCTTCAGTCACGTTACTAATATAATGAAGCCAACACATCTAAAAGACATGGTAAAGGTGTAGACAATGGCCACCACCAGATGGAATTATCCGAATTGGTTGAATTTTTTCTACACACGAATATCATGATAACTGTATTAAAAAAAATGGAAACGACAATTCATAGAACCTAATACAACCTGACCACCCAGGTTTTGTTAACCTAATAGAACCTAACATTCAGGGTTTGTTAGATCAGGTTCTATTAGGTTCTGTGCCAAATTTTTAAATGTATTTTTTTAATGTATTGCTAATAACATGATATTAAACACAAAAATGAAAATCTTAAACAACTTTCCTTAATATTGAGTTAATATACATCAGGCATCTGTGAACATAATGGTGAAATTTTAGTTATGCACCGGTCTTTCTCTTGCTGTTATTAATGTGTTTTTCGTGATGTTTAGACAATTCTAAGACCCCCTTTCTTCTGTGATATTTCAGCCGGAAATTAAGGGTAACCGAGATATTAATTTTTCAATATTATTAGATTTGGTCAGTCACAATTGTTGCCATTTGTTGTTTACGTCTCACAGAGAAGGTCTAACCACCCATCACGCAGTGCTCCTTCCCTCCGTGTTGGCTTCTTAAGCATCGACAGCACATGTGCGGAGGTTGGTGTGGGAGTTTCTTATTGGTTATAGCAATAGGAGACTTATAATTGGGCAAGAGTTTTTTGTCTTAGCCAATGAACAATGCGTCGGTACGTCGGGAGTGGAGATTTAATTTTTCACTACCAGAATAACCAGATATGGCTGAACAGGTGGAAATATTTGTGCCGACATTGTAATAGAGATTTTTTTTTACGTCAATTGCAGAGTTTCATCAGAAAAATAGTGTTAGGTTAGGTTTGGTTGGTTGATATTTTATTGGAAAATTTGCACTTGCACACCACACCCTGTTAGAAAGTCAAAAACATATTTCTCTAATGTATTTGTGTGTGTTTAGATCGAATATGACCTTCATTTCTGGCAGAAATTAGCTGTTTTTTTTTTAATCAAATTTTTTTCATTGGATGTTTTCGAAAAAAAATGGCTAAGCGAATAAAAAATACACCAAAAAACACTAGAAAAACAAAAACCAAACTTAACCCAACTGACTCACCATATGATGGAATCGCCTATTTTTTACCTTATTGGCCTGGTTGCTGACGTTGATTCTCACTTAATGGGGGGGTATAGGCGGGCAGTCTTGCACTTAGGACACTTTACTGAGGTTGGAAGAATGCCATGCGATTGAAAAAATGCTGTAGTTTCTTCTTTTTTCCCCAAAACTCACAATCAGCACCATATAATTGAAGTGACACCCATCGTAGACTTCCTTGGTCGGAAATGAAATTTAATTTTGAAATATGAGACCCAAAATAAAACTCGAATTTGATTGGGCCAAAAATACAGCGAATTAAACCCCAAATCATTTTAATTGGCTGCAAAAAAAAAATGCTTTTGATTGGCTGTGTGACGTGTATGGGAACGCGTGTGCGTGATGATTTATGAAGGAGAAACGCAAAGACCGGTGTGCATAAGTAAAAATTGACCGACATAATCGTTGGATGGTGTACTACAGTATATTGAAAGTTGTTGTTGTCCGTAATATGGAAGTCTTCCGCATTTTGAACATTTGTAAGTGTTCTTAATTAATCCATGGTCACAATTGAAAGATATCAAGCGAGATTCATCAAGAACTAGGTTTAATAAATCACGATATGAATAATCACAACCTTGGCACTTCTCCATGACATTCAAGAGACAGTGTTTCAAGTGATATACACCCCCTGTACACCTCCTTTGGGGGATACAGTACGTATAAATGTGAGGAGAGACAAGCAATGGAGAATTTTGACGACTGTTAACGGTATTCAAAACAATTAAAAGAGAATGGAATCAGTCTAAACTCTTAAAAGATCCTGAAAAAGTAAAAATAAGACACACATCATTTATTGGTTGTACTGTATATAGATGATATGAAAAGAAGGCTAAATGCATTTAATAACTAAACAAAAGAACATTAGACCAGTATTAACGTAATGTAAATTTAGTAAAGATGCGTATTTATTTAATTTAAAGGATCAGGATTAATGGTGCAAAATTTATACAGGTTTACAACAATGAACAATGGTGGAGGCAGGGAAATTGTGCTGCTGGACTCTTTAAAGGTATGAAAATGATTTGTGGCCTTGCAAATGCACCTTGAGACTTAATATTAATGCCATGTTTTTACCCCATAATTTCCCTCATCCTTCATGCCTTGCTCACTAGCAAGGAATTTATGATCATGGGATAGAGTACTTAAAAAATTCCCAAAAAATTGTTAAAATCATATTAGAAAGTTGTCGTTTCCTGTAAGAAACTTAAAAACGTCAAAACAACAAGAATGGCAACAAACAAGAAATTCAAGAAACTCCTCCTGGTGGTAGCCATTGTCTTCACCTTTACCAAACACACTGTATAAAATGACCTGAAAGTTAAAATGTGTGGGACAGTTGCATATGTTTCAGTGAGAATTGCCAAGTCTAGTTTAACAAAGTGCTCACAAGGTGAACGTTTGATGAGTGTTCAGGATTTAAATTGGTATTGTTGATAAATTCGTGCACCTCCTAATATTTATTGCCTTTACAGTTATTTTACAAAATTATGACGAGATTTGACCAACACTAGCACAGTTATAGATACATTCTGGAACCAGTACCGTACTTGCCAACAGTCCATAACTGTCCAAGCAGCTAACATGCCAATCAGTGGTGACGGGGATGGCTACACCCCATTTCATCACCAACCCGGTTCGTCACCAAAAAACCCATTTCATTACCAATATCAAATCCGTTTTGTTACCACTATCATACCGTTAGTGTGCTGGTATTAGAGTGACAAATTGTAAGTTATTATGCTACACTTATTGTGTAATACATAAATATGAATTATTTAATAAAGAAAACAATTAAAACATTGGTAAACAAACAAAATACAGAACAAATGAAAGTGATTTGGCACCAGTGCATAAACCACCGAGCAGCAAAGAACAATCTCGCCCTATACCTCCTTGCCCCTCTTCTTCACAGAGAAGCCTCATTGGTTGATTTGCAATTGCAACTAGTTGCTGAGCACAAGAAGAGCAAATCGTGACAAACAAGTCCGTCTCTGGAAGCTGTGGGAAGAATATGAAGAAAAATATATCACCACTTCTAATTTCCTAAAAAAAAATTCTCTTCTTCCAAGCTTGCATCGGTAATAACAATGTTTTTATTTTTTTATTTTAGTCTTTCACATATTGTTTAAGAGAGATTATTGCAGGCATATTAACAGTGTTTTTATTTTTGTTTTGTTTTAGTCTTTAATAAATTGTTTAAGTGAGACGCTTGCATGAGTAATAACGTTTTTATTTTTTATTTTCGTCTTTAATAAATTGTCTTCTTGAGATGCTTGCAAGATCCAATGTTTTGTTATGCCGCATAATTTCGTAATACAATTTTGTAAACTAGGTGTTTTGATTACAGAATTTTCTATCCCAAGCAACAGTTATTTTGTCAAATTTAGTGAAATTTTCGTGTACTGTATATACTATTGACGTATTAATTATGTAAGAATTTTCTGGAATGTATTGCCCTTGAAATGGTGATGGGAATGAACGCGGTGACGAAACGGGTAAAAACAGTGGTGACGAAACGGGTAAAAAATGTGGTGACGGAATGGGTTGGTGACGAAATAGGCACAACCCCATCAAACCTAACCAAACTTAACAGAGAATTAACCATTGTTCTGCCAACTGTTTACTCTGATGAAGGCCTGGGCTAAAGTTGAGGATCGTGTTCGTCTTCAGAGGCAGGGATAGGAGGTTGCTGTTGCACTAGGTCATCTTCCAAAATAATTGCTTTAAAAAAATAAATGTTTTTATAAATAAGGTCTTTATTATGCATTGGGCACTTGGGAGGAGACCTGGGCAAAACACAGTGCTCACAAAAAAAGTCTAAAGCCCTGTTGTTATTCTCATAGAACTCGAAAATAGCAGCAAAATACTTCCAGTTGCAGTGTACAATCAAAGACAAAAGTCGTGTTGCGGTTTGTCCGACGATTAAATATAACTCGTGAAACATTATGAGAGCCCTAGCACAAGGCAGATCGCACAAAAAGTATTTGCCCTTCGGCATATGTTTTCACCAAATTTCACGACACGACTTTTGTCTTTCATTGTACACACAGAGGCATGGTTGGCCAAGGACTGACTTTTCAAAATCAAATCTGCTGGGTTTTCCCTCAAGGTAGATGATTGGATGAGTTTTAATGATCTTAATTCATTGGCTGCAGCTCTCCCACAATGCACCTGCCAACGCATTTGCTATGCCCCCCCACGCTTTGGCAAAGGTGGGCACATGCAACTTTTTTTTTTGCCCCGCAACCGCAACTCTGCTGAAATAGTTTCACCGCAACCATTTTCAAAAAGTTTCGCTGCAAGCACAACCACAACGCACAATTTAAAAAATAAATAAACAAGTACTAAAATATAAAAAATTGCCTATTTACAAGTAAAACAAAATATAATTGATACAAAAAGTTAATACAGTGGGGTATGCTATAACGAACGGATCCTACTACGAATATTCCTATAACGAACGGTTTTACCTATAAAATTGAGAATGCTATTACGAACGAAACTCCTACAACGAACATTATTTAATTTTTTTTTTTTTTTCTAATTTATTGTTTTTTTATTACAAATATTAATGATATTCTTTATTTCAGGGGTTTAGATGCATATTTATGCACTTTTTTACAATTTTTACAATTTTATATTATATTTTTCAGTGTTAAGTGGTTGTATTTGGGGGCCTTGAACGGATTAATCCTATAACGAACGAATGCTATAACGAACAAGGTTCTAGAACCATTTAGATTCGTTATAGCATACCCCACTGTATCAATATTTTATTACAAAATTACAAAAAATGCCTCACTGCCACTGGCCTCGGTCTCAGTGGACTGGCTCTCAACAGTCTCGGTCACTTCAACTTCCATGTCCTGGTCGGCAGCGGCAGGATCACTGCTGCCGGCCACAGACTCCTTCTCGTTCCTCTTTGTCACAAAACGATCCATAATACTAGTAATAACAAGAAACAAAACAACAAGAAACTGACGCCTTAACTGCAGTGCTACTGACTGGTTATGATATGAATCATTCCTCCCTCCCCTTCCCTCATTGTAGTTGCCAGATTTCATCTTTCACATTAACTCTTAGTTTCTAGAGGGGGGGGGGTCTCATCTGGTTTACAGTTCAGAAACGGGCTGCCCGACCTGTATCATGTGTACACTGAATCATTCCGTCAGAAACATAAATTTTCGTAATGCGCGGCTCTAGGGATGCCCGTTTGTTTATACGGTTGTATTCCAATTTTCAAAATTATTGCCAAAAAATTTTTGATTTGTGCTTGTGCTTGAAAATGCTTGTAAAAGTTGTGCTGCAACCAATTCTGCAACTCTCTGGAAACATGTGCGGTGCAACTGCACGCGCAACCAAGAAAGTAGCGGCACAAGTTGCACCGCAACTTTTTGTGGCGCAACTGCCCACCTTTGCGCTTTGGTGACCGACCAAAATAGTTACAGTACTTTAAAAAATCAATACGGCCACTCCTCGACTTAGGACAGGGATAGGGACCCAAATCCAGGTTGTAAGTCAAATTGGTCGTGAGCCGTAAATGCGGAGATAATACATAAAAATTCTAAAATGGGTGTCTTTTTCTTCTCAGCACCACACAACTCTCACTTTCAAGCATGCCAGCCATTTTAAAGGGAATTACAAATGAAAATTTTGTCAGTACACAGCGCGATCACTAACGCTGGGACTCGAAAATACGTAATTTGAAAAAAAAATTTGTACGACTGGGGCGGTCATATGTCCGGGTGGTCGTAAGTCGAGAAGGTTGTAAGTTGAGGAGTAGCTGTATTACGATGAGTAATTTCTGATGGATGTTTATAGAAGAAAAGTAGCTTAGAATTGCATAAGGCAAGTGGTAGGGCCATTAGTATTGTTGTGCATGAGTTCGGTGTTAATACGAAAAAATACCATCTCGTGATTATCCGTGCCATATTATCCTTTGGGATTTTGCCGGGTATTACAGTATTTTAATTTTGGTCATCCTGGGCAAAGTCCCCACCAGAGAGAAGGGGGGGGGGGTCCAGTTAAGTTAGATATAGTTCCTGGGGGTATGATTATCATTTCAGTCATCCAGTGAATTATAGGGGGGTTTGGATATCCGAATACAGGGATGACCGAACTATAATTTTACCAGTCAATTTATGATATTAGCGAGGTTTATAATTTTCCATAAAAAAATAAGTTTTTCATATGGTTCTTGTGATTCGAACGAATCTGACCTTTATTTCTGGTGCTAACCGCCATAACCTAACCGAAACTTGGCTACTATCCTAAATTGACCATTTTACCTTCCTTAGTTCAATGGCCAGGTTAGGTTAGATATCTAATGCAAGGATAAACATAAGAACATAAGAATGGAGGAAACTGCACCGGGCCTATTGGCCCATACTGGGCAGTCCCATTTAGACCCAACCCCTATTGCTCATATATCCATCCAACCTATGTTTGAAGCTATCCAGCGTCTTCGAGTTAATGATGATATTTGGTAACTTGTTTCACTCGTCCACTACTCTATTTCCAAACCAATGTTTACCTGCTTCGTGCCTAAATCTAAATTTGTCTAATTTAAAACCATTGTTACGAGTTCGCTCCTGGTTGGATAGTTTGAGTACCTTTGTTTAGTCCTGACTTCACTTATAAACCTCTTATCATATCGCCCCTCACTCTACATCTCTCGAGGGAGTGCAAATTAAGATGCTTTAACCTGTCTCTGTACTCAAGGTTCCTAATGCCTGGGATTACTGTAGTCTTGTCATTCTCCTCTGAATTCTTTCCAAGGATTCTATATCCATTCTGTAATACAGTGACCAGAATTGAACTGCGTAATCCATATGAGGTCTCACAAGCGCAAGATATAGTTTAAGGATGACCTTGCTAGTCTTGTAACTATCACTCCTTTGTATTAACCCAAGTACTTTATTAGCTTTGTTTCGAGCAAATAGTATTGTTTACTTGGCTTAAGATTCCTACTTATTACTCCTAAATCTCTCTGTTGGATTTCTCTATAAC